GTGAGCTGGCGCAGGCCCTTCGGGATGGCGTCCTTCTGTGTCAGCTGCTTAACAACCTGCTGCCCCAGGCCCTCAACCTACGTGAGGTCAACCTGCGCCCCCAGATGTCCCAGGTGAGCCCACAGCTGGCTGGTGTGCCAAGGCGTCGAGGTGGGGGGGCGCCCCGGGCTGACACAGGAGGGGATCCATGCAGTCCACCTCTGGGCCAGCAGAGTAGGGGGAATAGGCTTATAGGTCCAGGCGTGATCACACGCTGAGATTCTGGGGTGGCCCACCCAAAGTTAAGAGACCCCTTGAATGCATTAATAGGCCGTGAGTCGGGCCTCATCTAGGCTGAGAACTAGCAAACTAGGGGTTAACTCTTCTAAGCTCCAGGCTGACTCTACTGGGGCGCAAGCCCCCAGATGGGACCATCTGGGGATCCCAGGGGACACCTAGGAACCCCCTGATGGCCAAGCCGGTGCCTGGGGTTGACTCCTTCTGACCCCCGATTCTGGCTATAGGGGAGGGGCCTCCACCAACTTCTTCCCCCACATGCGTCTCCTCCTCCTAGGCCCTGGGCCCCTTCCTTCCCTTCACATCTTCCTTCCCCTTGGCTTCCTGCCGGGGCCTGGGGCAATGTAGGGCAGGCGGGGGCTGCAGCCCCAGGGCTCTGGTCTTCCCCTCTTCATCCATCCCTGGGGAGATACTGAGGCAGGGCCTGGTCGTGGGCTCTGAGAATGGGTTCTGGGGTTTTGGAGCCTAGAACAGCAGCATTTTCTCTGCAGGGATTTCTGCAGGGGCCCAGGCTGCACGGGGAGGTGGATTTGACTGTGGCCGCCCCCACCAGGCTCAGGAAATATATTTAAGTCCCTATTTGAATGCGGTTGAGGTGGGGTGGTCACATGGCTGGATCCAGTCTCTGTAGCATCTTCTCTGGTGCCCCAAGGCTGCTGGGTGGGGACAGAGGACGGAGCTGGTCTCTTGGTGCCCAGCCTGCCTTGGGGTGTGAGGGGATGTGGCTCTGTCCCGTGGTCTGAGGGGACAACTGCCATCTGGCCATCAGGCTGGCACTCCAGGATCTGGGCCCTGTCCTGAGGAGCTGTGGGTTGGGAGGGGGGTCTCTCTGGGGATGGAGGTCGGGGCCAGCTGCTGAGGGAGTGGGGGCCATAGGTTCCCAAGGGGGAGCTTCCCATTGGTGGGAGAGGTGGGTGGCTTTTCACTCCTCCTCTGTTTCCTTAGCACAAGGGCCTTACTCCCTGCTCAGCCCAGCAGGGCTTCCTGGAAGGAGGAAGCTCCAGAGCCCCCTTCCCTGCATGGCCAGCCCCTCTGGCCACGGGCCATCCCAAACTTGCCTAGATTTGCTTAACCTCCTTCTGGCTTCCAAGGCATGAGGAAGTAGTGTAAGATCTGTCAGGACCCAGACTTGGCAGGGGGTCAAGGTCCTCTGTGATGCTGTAATAGCAGCTGGTGGGAAAGTGGACAGACTTAAGGATGAACTTCTACTCCTGTGCGTGTCTTGGCTAAAGCCAGTTCTCTGACTGGGGGTGAGGGAGTGTGGTGCTAATCTCTAGGGAACAGTTACACTCTAAGGACAGTCCTAATCCTCTCTACCAGGCAGTGCCAGAAACCCAGGCCTGGCCCTGAAAGTGCTCTTGGACTGAGGGAAACAGAAAAAGATGCCCCCACATCCCTATGTGGTATAGGTTGGGGGCTCTGGTAGGAGGGCAGGACTTGCCTGGTAGAGTCGGGGTTTATGCAAGAGGGGACATTTGTGTTGGGTTTTGAAGATTAAGTAGGAGTTTTCTTATTGTTCTGGCTTCCTGTGTGCAGCTGTGTCAGACTCCAAGCTGGACAGGGATGTACCCTGACCCTCCCTGTCTGGGAGTTCTGTGCCTTCCTGCCTCTGCTCATTCTGCCTCTTTTTGAAGCTCAGCCCCGGGCCTGGCACAGAGTGGGGACGTGTGTGTGAAGCAAAAGGCACGCACAATAAGCCAGAGGAAGGTGCAGTGGGAGCAACCTCTCTGGGTTTCTGGGTGCCTGTCCGTCGACAGATTGAAGCCAGGGCCATGAATGGCCTATGTGATGTGGAAAGACAGAGAGAAAAAGTAAGGTGCTCCTGAAGGGGTAATGGCATAAACAGAGGTGTGGAGGCTGGAATTAGGATGTTTCCCAGTTTCTCTCATTTTTTCTTAGTCCCTCTTCTTTTGCTCAGTTGTTTCCAAGAAAGAGAGGAATGAGCATGTTCTTTCATCCATCCATCCCTCACCCACCCATCCACCCATCCATCCACCCATCCATCCATCCACCCATCCATCCATCCACCCATCCATCCCTCCACCCACCCATCCACCCATACACCCACCCATCCATCCACCCATCCATCCACCCATCCACCCATCCATCCATCCACCCATCCATCCCTCCACCCACCCATCCACCCATACACCCACCCATCCATCCACCCATCCACCCACCCATCCACCCATCCACCCAACAATTACTGAGTATACCTGGCGCTGTTCTTTGTGCTGGGGACAGTGAGAATAAGACACACACACACCACTATTGTCGAGGAGCCTGTATTCTAGTGGGGGGAGGTCAAACAATGAGCAAAGAAGAAAATGTAGAATTTTTCAGGAGGTAGCATGTGCTCTGAGGAGAATGAAGCAGGAAAGGGGGTTTGGGAATGCAGGAGTGGCACTTTTAAATGGGGATTTGGGAGGCCTCACTGATAAAGTGACATTGGAGCAGAGACCTGGGGAAACTGAAGAAATGAGCCATGTGAATCTGGGGAAAAAGTGTCCTAGGCAGGGGGTACTGCCAGTGCAAAGGCCCTGAGGTCGAGGCCGGCTGGTACCTGTATGTTCAGGGCTGTGACTGGCCTGGCTGGTGGGAATGGTGGGGTACGTCAGATTGCAGTGAATCCCAAAGCCAGTCGGTTCTTCCAAGGTACCACCATGGGCAGCCCAGNGGAGGTAGCATGTGCTCTGAGGAGAATGAAGCAGGAAAGGGGGTTTGGGAATGCAGGAGTGGCACTTTTAAATGGGGATTTGGGAGGCCTCACTGATAAAGTGACATTGGAGCAGAGACCTGGGGAAACTGAAGAAATGAGCCATGTGAATCTGGGGAAAAAGTGTCCTAGGCAGGGGGTACTGCCAGTGCAAAGGCCCTGAGGTCGAGGCCGGCTGGTACCTGTATGTTCAGGGCTGTGACTGGCCTGGCTGGTGGGAATGGTGGGGTACGTCAGATTGCAGTGAATCCCAAAGCCAGTCAGTTCTTCCAAGGTACCACCATGGGCAGCCCAGCAACACCTAGAAACCCCCACTCTCCTCCACTGCTCTCTTGGAGTCTAAAATCTGGACTGGAGAATTGGAACTTGAAGGCCAAGGGAGCGGAGGGAGAGAAAGGTACAGATTATGGGAAAGATCCACCAGGATGTGGGAGCTTAGTAGGCACTGGGGTGGGGGCGGTTGCTCAGACCAAGATGACGCCAAGGTCCCCAGCCCTAATAATTAGTAATGCCATTGGGGTCAGGAAAAGGAGAGGGTGGGACAGTTAGAATAGGGAAGTGAGCTGGGGGAGGGGGTTCGGTGGCTTGAAGGAGCCAGACCTGGGTTCATATCTTGGTATGATATGAAACCACTGTTTCCTGGCTTTAACCTCTCTGAGCCTCAGTTTCCCCATCTGAAATGTGGCTAAAAACAGTACTTTTTTTTTTGGACGACTGCTGTGATATTTCAGTACTTCTTGACAGGGTCCGGCACCTGGTAAACAGCCACTAAAAAGTCTTTTTAGGAAGGATGTGGGGTAGCGAGAGGGTAGGCAGAATAACACAGCAGGTTGGAGTTTGGGCTAAGGTAGTAGATTTCACCCTCCCCTCGCCCCCCACATTTTGGCAGTGTTTGGCGACATTTTTGGTTGTCACAACTGGGGCAGGCCTGCGACTGGCGTCTAGTGGGTGGAGAACAGATATGCTCAGGACACCCCTCACCACAGAGAATGATGCAGCCCCAAATGTCCATAGTACTGAGGGAGCTAGAATATTTTAAACATTTAACCATTTGGTTAAATGATACATTCACAGGATCCAAATATTAAAACTCTTAAAATGATGTGTAGAGAAAACTTTAACTCCTGGTTCTATCTCTTAGCTCCCTTCCCCTACTGGTAACTACTTTTTCCTTTTTTTAGGTTGACTGTGTATTCTCCCAGAATTTTTTTATGCATACATAAGCAAATAGGAATATAGATTCTTATTTACTGTACTCCTCCCTTAACAGGAAAGTGAGCACATGCTACCCATTGCTCTATACCT